TTTTTTTTCCTGTATTTTTACATATACCCTAGGGTGTTATGTCCGGGAGAATACGGCAACTTTATGGCGAATGCAGCATTCTGCACTGGTCAAAGTCGTGAATGACTAGACTCTTCTCCTACTACTGGTAACGACAGGAGAGGAACATTGAGTGCGAGGCACTGCATAAGGACAGGCAGATGGGAGGCGAGAGGCCGCATCTCCATCTGTGTGTGTCAGTGATTGGCCAGCAGGTCCCCTTACCATCCCACCACTGCCATCCCATCCCACCTCTGCCACCACCACTGCCACCCCACCCACCACTACCACCGCAAGTGCCACTGCCGTTCCTACCGCTTGCGAGAGTGACTGGGAGCAAGGTGCTGCATGAAGGCAGGCAGGGGAGGCGGCTCCGTCTGAGTGTGAGTGGCCACCAACCCCCCCTGCGGGTGAGCCTGAGCATTCATTCTATCCACCAGGTTCCCCCCATCCTTCCTGCTCCCACTGCTGCCGCTCCCACTGCTGCCGCTGCCCTTGCCTGCTGCTTTGAGTCGCCTCACAGCGTCTTGAAAGAGGGACGTCAGCTTTCCTTTGCCCTTCGTTCCCCCGTTCCCCATTGTTGCTTCTCTTGCTGCTGCTGCTGCTGGTGGTTGAGCCGCAAAGGAGCCATGTGGCACAGAGGAGGCACGTGGAAAAGAGGAGGCAGGAGGCAGCGAGGCGGCAGGTGGAAACGAGGAAGCAGGTTGCACAGATGAGGCACGCGGGAAAGAGGGGGCTGCTGGCAAAGAGGTGGCAGGTGGGAGAGAGGTGGAAGGTGGAAAAGATGCGACAGGTGGGAGAGAGGTGGAAGGTGGAAAAGATGCGACAGGTGGGAGAGAGGTGGAAGGTGGAAAAGATGCGACAGGTGGGAGAGAGGTGGAAGGTGGAAAAGATGCGACAGGTGGGAGAGAGGTGGAAGGTGGAAAAGATGCGACAGGTGGGAGAGAGGTGGAAGGTGGAAAAGATGCGACAGGTGGGAGAGAGGTGGAAGGTGGAAAAGATGCGACAGGTGGGAGAGAGGTGGAAGGTGGAAAAGATGCGACAGGTGGGAGAGAGGTGGAAGGTGGAAAAGATGCGACAGGTGGGAGAGAGGTGGAAGGAGGCAGCGAGGCGGCAGGTGGAACAGAGGAGGCTGGTTGCACAGATGAGGCACGCGGGAAAGAGGGGGCCGGTTGAAAAGAGTCGGCAGGTGGGAGAGAGGTGGAAGGTGGAAATGACGCGGCAGGTGGGAGAGAGGAGGATGGTGGTAGAGAGGCGGCAGGTGGGAGAGAGACGGCAGGTGGTAGAGAGGAGGATGGTGGTAAAGAGGCGGCAGGTGGGAGAGAGGCGGCAGGTGGGAGAGAGGCGGCAGGTGGGAGAGAGGCGGCAGATGGGAGAGAGGCAGCAGGCGGTACAGAGGCAACGTCAGGTCGAGTGGGATGAGGGGACTGAGAGCGCGTGGGTTGAGGTGGAATGGACAGTGAGCGGGGAAAATTCGCATCAGGGTGAGGTTGGGTGAGCTGAGAGTGAGTGGGGTGAGAGTTAGTGGGGTGAGAGTTAGTGGGGTGAGGGCGATGGGGTTGAGGGTGAGAGGAAGCGGGGACTCCGGAGTACTGTGTGGAAGGATCTAATGCTTGGTGCCCATTCCCATGCCCGTGCCCATGCCCATGCCTATTCTCATGCCCTTGTCTGTGCCTATGCTCATGCCTATCGCCATGCTCATTCCCGTGGCCGTGGCCGTGCCCATACCCATGCTCATTCCCATGCTCATGCCCAGGAGAAGCAGCAGCAGCAGCAGCAGCAGCAGCAGTCACAGAGGCTGCAGCAGAGGGCAGATTCGATGGAGAAACGGCATGGGGCAAATGAGATGGAGAAAGAGCAGAGGCAGCTGCTGCAGCAGGGGGGGAAGCAGCAGCAGCAAGGTGGGCAGCAGGAGGCGACGCAGGGGGAGGGGAAGCAGGAGGATGGGAGGCGGCAGGGGGGGGAGCGGCAGGAGGGAAAGCAGGAGGGGAAGCAGCAGGATGGGAAGCGACAGGGGGGGAAGCGGCAGGAGGGAAAGCAGCAGGAGGGGAAGCAGCAGGATGGGAAACAGCAGGAGCAGCAACACCAGCAGTGACAGCACCAGCAGCAGTAGCACCAGCAGAGGCAGCACCGGTAACAGCAGCAGCAGCAGCAGCAGCAACAACTGCAGAACCAGAACCCCCAGCAGCAGCAGCCCCCCCATGCTCTCCCCCCTCCGCGTGCTCCCCCTGCCCACTCCCCGCCGTCTCCTCATCACTGACCTCCACCTCCGGCCGCGCCTCCCGAAACATTTCCACCGCTGCCCGGGTCACCAGCGGGCAGCGGCGAAGCTTCAACGTGGCGAGGCCCGGGCAGCCCGTGGCGAGGAAAATAACGGCGGCGTCGGTAATATTCGGGCAGGCGAGGAGGCAGAGCCGGCGGAGCTTCAGGCAGGAGGTGGCGATGCAGGAAGCTTCCTGGTCGCCAATGGAGCGCATGTAGCAGAGAGTGAGGCGGTCGAGATTGGGGCAGCCGGCGGCGAGCTGCTGCAGCGAGGGCAGCGTGCAGGAGCCCCCCACTATCACCAGGTCCTGGTGGGTGTGGGGGGGGGGGGGGGGGGGGGAGGGGGGGGGGGGGAGGGGGGAAGGGGGGAAGAAAGAGGATGGTTGGCTCATTCTCCTCCCAGACAAGGGAAGTTGACAAACGAGCCGGTCCTATTATCCCAATGTCTCCAACCCTTACTTGCCTCTCACCAGTTTCCCTTCCCTCCCCTCACCTGCAGCTGGCTGCAGTGCTTGGCAATCGCCGTGAGAGCAACGTCCCCAATGTGCCCCGTCGCCCACCCGTCGATGTGCACCCACCGCAGCTGGGGGCAGCCAGCGGCCACTGCAGCCATGCCATCGTCGGTGCAGTGCGGCGAGTGCACGATGCCCATGAGCTCCAGATGGGGGCACTGGGCGAGGGCGTGCAGAGCGCGGTCGGATAGGAGGGTCTTCTCAACGAGCAGCTGAAGAGGGAAAAGGAGAGTGGAAAATAAGGTGAGTTGAAAGATCACTGCAGTGCGAAAAGCAGTAGGAGAGGAGGAGGGGGCACTAGAGGGCGTGACCCCCGACTGGTGCAAAAAGCTCGTCGGCTGTAGATAGGTGGCACACTGGGCGAGGGCGTGCAAAACGTGGTGGGAGAGGAGGGCCTCCTCTTCTCACCCTTTCAACCTCCCCTGAATTTTCTCACCTCCTTTACCTTTCCTCTCCGGCTCACCTGCCTCAACACCGCTGTCTTGTTCCGTGCAACCAGCCCCTCAAGCGCCACGTCCCAGCTGCCCATGTTGCGCCCGAGAATGAGCGTCTCCAAACTCCCCCCACACGCCTCCATGACGGGCTGCCACATGGCGGCATTCCGTTGGTCCTTGACGCAGAGGCGGCGGATGGAGAGGGTGGTGGGGGGTGAGGCGGGCAGGAGGGGGTGGGTGGTGGAGGGTGCGGGCATGGGCATAGGCTGACCCGCACTGGCACTGGTGGGGGAGAGCAGGTGGAGGGGGGTGAAGGGACGAAGAACACAGAGACAAAGGGTGGGAGGGAGGAAGAGCAGAGGGAGGGAGGCAGGGAAAAGGGAGAGAAGAACGTCAATCATTGATAGAAAGGACGATTCGAGAAGAATCACTTTTGAGTCTCCAGAGGTGTCCCCACACGCCATGTTGAAATCACTTTTGAGAATTCTCGGTTCAATTTTTGTAGGAAAAGGGAGAGAAGAACAGAGGGAGGGAAGCAGGGAAAAGGGAGAGAAGAACAGAGGGAGGGAAGCAGGGAAAAGGGAGAGAAGAACAGAGGGAGGGAAGCAGGGAAAAGGGAGAGAAGAACAGAGGGAGGGAAGCAGGGAAAAGGGAGAGAAGAACAGAGGGAGGGAAGCAGGGAAAAGGGAGAGAAGAACAGAGGGAGGGAAGCAGGGGAAAGGGAGAGAAGAACAGAGGGAGGGAAGCAGGGAAAAGGGAGAGAAGAACAGAGGGAGGGAAGCAGGGAAAAGGGAGAGAAGAACAGAGGGAGGGAAGCAGGGAAAAGGGAGAGAAGAACAGAGGGAGGGAAGCAGGGAAAAGGGAGAGAAGAACAGAGGGAGGGAAGCAGGGAAAAGGGAGAGAAGAACAGAGGGAGGGAAGCAGGGAAAAGGGAGAGAAGAACAGAGGGAGGGAAGCAGGGAAAAGGGAGAGAAGAACAGAGGGAGGGAAGCAGGGAAAAGGGAGAGAAGAACAGAGGGAGGGAAGCAGGGAAAAGGGAGAGAAGAACAGAGGGAGGGAAGCAGGGAAAAGGGAGAGAAGAACAGAGGGAGGGAAGCAGGGGAAAGGGAGAGAAGAACAGAGGGAGGGAAGCAGGGAAAAGGGAGAGAAGAACAGAGGGAGGGAAGCAGGGAAAAGGGGAGAGAAGAACAGAGGGAGGGAAGCAGGGAAAAGGGAGAGAAGAACAGAGGGAGGGAAGCAGGGAAAAGGGAGAGAAGAACAGAGGGAGGGAAGCAGGGAAAAGGGAGAGAAGAACAGAGGGAGGGAAGCAGGGGAAAGGGAGAGAAGAACAGAGGGAGGGAAGCAGGGAAAAGGGAGAGAAGAACAGAGGGAGGGAAGCAGGGAAAAGGGAGAGAAGAACAGAGGGAGGGAAGCAGGGAAAAGGGAGAGAAGAACAGAGGGAGGGAAGCAGGGAAAAGGGAGAGAAGAACAGAGGGAGGGAAGCAGGGAAAAGGGAGAGAAGAACAGAGGGAGGGAAGCAGGGAAAAGGGAGAGAAGAACAGAGGGAGGGAAGCAGGGAAAAGGGAGAGAAGAACAGAGGGAGGGAAGCAGGGAAAAGGGAGAGAAGAACAGAGGGAGGGAAGCAGGGAAAAGGGAGAGAAGAACAGAGGGAGGGAAGCAGGGAAAAGGGAGAGAAGAACAGAGGGAGGGAAGCAGGGAAAAGGGAGAGAAGAACAGAGGGAGGGAAGCAGGGAAAAGGGAGAGAAGAACAGAGGGAGGGAAGCAGGGAAAAGGGATGAGAAGAACAGAGGGAGGGAAGCAGGGAAAAGGGAGAGAAGAACAGAGGGAGGGAAGCAGGGAAAAGGGAGAGAAGAACAGAGGGAGGGAAGCAGGGGAAAGGGAGAGAAGAACAGAGGGAGGGAAGCAGGGAAAAAGGGAGAGAAGAACAGAGGGAGGGAAGCAGGGGAAAAGGGAGAGAAGAACAGAGGGAGGGAAGCAGGGAAAAGGGAGAGAAGAACAGAGGGAGGGAAGCAGGGAAAAGGGAGAGAAGAACAGAGGGAGGGAAGCAGGGAAAAGGGAGAGAAGAACAGAGGGAGGGAAGCAGGGAAAAGGGAGAGAAGAACAGAGGGAGGGAAGCAGGGAAAAGGGAGAGAAGAACAGAGGGAGGGAAGCAGGGAAAAGGGAGAGAAGAACAGAGGGAGGGAAGCAGGGAAAAGGGAGAGAAGAACAGGAGGGAGCAGAAGAGACAGAGGAGGGAAGCAGGGAAAGGGAGAGAAGAACAGAGGGAGGGAAGCAGGGAAAAGGGAGAGAAGAACAGAGGGAGGGAAGCAGGGAAAAGGGAGAGAAGAACAGAGGGAGGGAAGCAGGGAAAAGGGAGAGAAGAACAGAGGGAGGGAAGCAGGGAAAAGGGAGAGAAGAACAGAGGGAGGGAAGCAGGGAAAAGGGAGAGAAGAACAGAGGGAGGGAAGCAGGGAAAAGGGAGAGAAGAACAGAGGGAGGGAAGCAGGGAAAAGGGAGAGAAGAACAGAGGGAGGGAAGCAGGGAAAAGGGAGAGAAGAACAGAGGGAGGGAAGCAGGGAAAAGGGAGAGAAGAACAGAGGGAGGGAAGCAGGGAAAAGGGAGAGAAGAACAGAGGGAGGGAAGCAGGGAAAAGGGAGAGAAGAACAGAGGGAGGGAAGCAGGGAAAAGGGAGAGAAGAACAGAGGGAGGGAAGCAGGGAAAAGGGAGAGAAGAACAGAGGGAGGGAAGCAGGGAAAAGGGAGAGAAGAACAGAGGGAGGGAAGCAGGGAAAAGGGAGAGAAGAACAGAGGGAGGGAAGCAGGGAAAAGGGAGAGAAGAACAGAGGGAGGGAAGCAGGGAAAAGGGAGAGAAGAACAGAGGGAGGGAAGCAGGGAAAAGGGAGAGAAGAACAGAGGGAGGGAAGCAGGGAAAAGGGAGAGAAGAACAGAGGGAGGGAAGCAGGGAAAAGGGAGAGAAGAACAGAGGGAGGGAAGCAGGGAAAAGGGAGAGAAGAACAGAGGGAGGGAAGCAGGGAAAAGGGAGAGAAGAACAGAGGGAGGGAAGCAGGGAAAAGGGAGAGAAGAACAGAGGGAGGGAAGCAGGGAAAAGGGAGAGAAGAACAGAGGTGAGGGAAGCAGGGAAAAGGGAGAGAAGAACAGAGGGAGGGAAGCAGGGAAAAGGGAGAGAAGAACAGAGGGAGGGAAGCAGGGAAAAGGGAGAGAAGAACAGAGGGAGGGAAGCAGGGAAAAGGGAGAGAAGAACAGAGGAGGGAAGCAGGGAAAAGGGAGAGAAGAACAGAGGGAGGAAGCAGGGAAAAGGGAGAGAAGAACAGAGGGAGGGAAGCAGGGAAAAGGGAGAGAAGAACAGAGGGAGGGAAGCAGGGAAAAGGGAGAGAAGAACAGAGGGAGGGAAGCAGGGAAAGGGAGAGAAGAACAGAGGGAGGGAAGCAGGGAAAAGGGAGAGAAGAACAGAGGGAGGGAAGCAGGGAAAAGGGAGAGAAGAACAGAGGGAGGGAAGCAGGGAAAAGGGAGAGAAGAACAGAGGGAGGGAAGCAGGGAAAAGGGAGAGAAGAACAGAGGGAGGGAAGCAGGGAAAAGGGAGAGAAGAACAGAGGGAGGGAAGCAGGGAAAAGGGAGAGAAGAACAGAGGGAGGGAAGCAGGGAAAAGGGAGAGAAGAACAGAGGGAGGGAAGCAGGGAAAAGGGAGAGAAGAACAGAGGGAGGGAAGCAGGGAAAAGGGAGAGAAGAACAGAGGGAGGGAAGCAGGGAAAAGGGAGAGAAGAACAGAGGGAGGGAAGCAGGGAAAAGGGAGAGAAGAACAGAGGGAGGGAAGCAGGGAAAAGGGAGAGAAGAACAGAGGGAGGGAAGCAGGGAAAAGGGAGAGAAGAACAGAGGGAGGGAAGCAGGGAAAAGGGAGAGAAGAACAGAGGGAGGGAAGCAGGGAAAAGGGAGAGAAGAACAGAGGGAGGGAAGCAGGGAAAAGGGAGAGAAGAACAGAGGGAGGGAAGCAGGGAAAAGGGAGAGAAGAACAGAGGGAGGGAAGCAGGGGAAAAGGGAGAGAAGAACAGAGGGAGGGAAGCAGGGAAAAGGGAGAGAAGAACAGAGGGAGGGAAGCAGGGAAAAGGGAGAGAAGAACAGAGGGAGGGAAGCAGGGAAAAGGGAGAGAAGAACAGATGGGAGGGAAGCAGGGAAAAGGGAGAGAAGAACAGAGGGAGGGAAGCAGGGAAAAGGGAGAGAAGAACAGAGGGAGGGAAGCAGGGAAAAGGGAGAGAAGACAGAGGGAGGGAAGCAGGGAAAAGGGAGAGAAGAACAGAGGGAGGGAAGCAGGGAAAAGGGAGAGAAGAACAGAGGGAGGGAAGCAGGGAAAAGGGAGAGAAGAACAGAGGGAGGGAAGCAGGGAAAAGGGAGAGAAGAACAGAGGGAGGGAAGCAGGGAAAAGGGAGAGAAGAACAGAGGGAGGGAAGCAGGGAAAAGGGAGAGAAGAACAGAGGGAGGGAAGCAGGGAAAAGGGAGAGAAGAACAGAGGGAGGGAAGCAGGGAAAAGGGAGAGAAGAACAGAGGGAGGGAAGCAGGGAAAAGGGAGAGAAGAACAGAGGGAGGGAAGCAGGGAAAAGGGAGAGAAGAACAGAGGGAGGGAAGCAGGGAAAAGGGAGAGAAGAACAGAGGGAGGGAAGCAGGGAAAAGGGAGAGAAGAACAGAGGGAGGGAAGCAGGGAAAAGGGAGAGAAGAACAGAGGGAGGGAAGCAGGGAAAAGGGGAGAGAAGAACAGAGGGAGGGAAGCAGGGGAAAGGGAGAGAAGAACAGAGGGAGGGAAAGCAGGGAAAAGGGAGAGAAGAACAGAGGGAGGGAAGCAGGGGAAAAGGGAGAGAGAAGAACAGAGGGAGGGAAGCAGGGAAAAGGGAGAGAAGAACAGAGGGAGGGAAGCAGGGAAAAGGGAGAGAAGAACAGAGGGAGGGAAGCAGGGAAAAGGGAGAGAAGAACAGAGGGAGGGAAGCAGGGAAAAGGGAGAGAAGAACAGAGGGAGGGAAGCAGGGAAAGGGAGAGAAGAACAGAGGGAGGGAAGCAGGGAAAAGGGAGAGAAGAACAGAGGGAGGGAAGCAGGGAAAAGGGAGAGAAGAACAGAGGGAGGGAAGCAGGGAAAAGGGAGAGAAGAACAGAGGGAGGGAAGCAGGGAAAAGGGAGAGAAGAACAGAGGGAGGGAAGCAGGGAAAAGGGAGAGAAGAACAGAGGGAGGGAAGCAGGGAAAAGGGAGAGAAGAACAGAGGGAGGGAAGCAGGGAAAAGGGAGAGAAGAACAGAGGGAGGGAAGCAGGGAAAAGGGAGAGAAGAACAGAGGGAGGGAAGCAGGGAAAAGGGAGAGAAGAACAGAGGGAGGGAAAGCAGGGAAAAGGGAGAGAAGAACAGAGGGAGGGAAGCAGGGAAAAGGGAGAGAAGAACAGAGGGAGGGAAGCAGGGAAAAGGGAGAGAAGAACAGAGGGAGGGAAGCAGGGAAAAGGGAGAGAAGAACAGAGGGAGGGAAGCAGGGAAAAGGGAGAGAAGAACAGAGGGAGGGAAGCAGGGAAAAGGGAGAGAAGAACAGAGGGAGGGAAGCAGGGAAAAGGGAGAGAAGAACAGAGGGAGGGAAGCAGGGAAAAGGGAGAGAAGAACAGAGGGAGGGAAGCAGGGAAAAGGGAGAGAAGAACAGAGGGAGGGAAGCAGGGAAAAGGGAGAGAAGAACAGAGGGAGGGAAGCAGGGAAAAGGGAGAGAAGAACAGAGGGAGGGAAGCAGGGAAAAGGGAGAGAAGAACAGAGGGAGGGAAGCAGGGAAAAGGGAGAGAAGAACAGAGGGAGGGAAGCAGGGAAAAGGGAGAGAAGAACAGAGGGAGGGAAGCAGGGAAAAGGGAGAGAAGAACAGAGGGAGGGAAGCAGGGAAAAGGGAGAGAAGAACAGAGGGAGGGAAGCAGGGAAAAGGGAGAGAAGAACAGAGGGAGGGAAGCAGGGAAAAGGGAGAGAAGAACAGAGGGAGGGAAGCAGGGAAAAGGGAGAGAAGAACAGAGGGAGGGAAGCAGGGAAAAGGGAGAGAAGAACAGAGGGAGGGAAGCAGGGAAAAGGGAGAGAAGAACAGAGGGAGGGAAGCAGGGAAAAGGGAGAGAAGAACAGAGGGAGGGAAGCAGGGAAAAGGGAGAGAAGAACAGAGGGAGGGAAGCAGGGAAAGGGAGAGAAGAACAGAGGAGGGAAGCAGGAAGAGAACAGAGGGAGGGAAGCAGGGAAAAGGGAGAGAAGAACAGAGGGAGGGAAGCAGGGAAAAGGGAGAGAAGAACAGAGGGAGGGAAGCAGGGAAAAGGGAGAGAAGAACAGAGGGAGGGAAGCAGGGAAAAGGGAGAGAAGAACAGAGGGAGGGAAGCAGGGAAAAGGGAGAGAAGAACAGAGGGAGGGAAGCAGGGAAAAGGGAGAGAAGAACAGAGGGAGGGAAGCAGGGAAAAGGGAGAGAAGAACAGAGGGAGGGAAGCAGGGAAAAGGGAGAGAAGAACAGAGGGAGGGAAGCAGGGAAAAGGGAGAGAAGAACAGAGGGAGGGAAGCAGGGAAAAGGGAGAGAAGAACAGAGGGAGGGAAGCAGGGAAAAGGGAGAGAAGAACAGAGGGAGGGAAGCAGGGAAAAGGGAGAGAAGAACAGAGGGAGGGAAGCAGGGAAAAGGGAGAGAAGAACAGAGGGAGGGAAGCAGGGAAAAGGGAGAGAAGAACAGAGGGAGGGAAGCAGGGAAAAGGGAGAGAAGAACAGAGGGAGGGAAGCAGGGAAAAGGGAGAGAAGAACAGAGGGAGGGAAGCAGGGAAAAGGGAGAGAAGAACAGAGGGAGGGAAGCAGGGAAAAGGGAGAGAAGAACAGAGGGAGGGAAGCAGGGAAAGGGAGAGAAGAACAGAGGGAGGGAAGCAGGGAAAAGGGAGAGAAGAACAGAGGGAGGGAAGCAGGGAAAAGGGAGAGAAGAACAGAGGGAGGGAAGCAGGGAAAAGGGAGAGAAGAACAGAGGGAGGGAAGCAGGGAAAAGGGAGAGAAGAACAGAGGGAGGGAAGCAGGGAAAAGGGAGAGAAGAACAGAGGGAGGGAAGCAGGGAAAAGGGAGAGAAGAACAGAGGGAGGGAAGCAGGGAAAAGGGAGAGAAGACAGAGGGAGGGAAGCAGGGAAAAGGGAGAGAAGAACAGAGGGAGGGAAGCAGGGAAAAGGGAGAGAAGAACAGAGGGAGGGAAGCAGGGAAAAGGGAGAGAAGAACAGAGGGAGGGAAGCAGGGAAAAGGGAGAGAAGAACAGAGGGAGGGAAGCAGGGAAAAGGGAGAGAAGAACAGAGGGAGGGAAGCAGGGAAAAGGGAGAGAAGAACAGAGGGAGGGAAGCAGGGAAAAGGGAGAGAAGAAACAGAGGGAGGGAAGCAGGGAAAAGGGAGAGAAGAACAGAGGGAGGGAAGCAGGGAAAAGGGAGAGAAGAACAGAGGGAGGGAAGCAGGGAAAAGGGAGAGAAGAACAGAGGGAGGGAAGCAGGGAAAAGGGAGAGAAGAACAGAGGGAGGGAAGCAGGGAAAAGGGAGAGAAGAACAGAGGGAGGGAAGCAGGGAAAAGGGAGAGAAGAACAGAGGGAGGGAAGCAGGGAAAAGGGAGAGAAGAACAGAGGGAGGGAAGCAGGGAAAAGGGAGAGAAGAACAGAGGGAGGGAAGCAGGGAAAAGGGAGAGAAGAACAGAGGGAGGGAAGCAGGGAAAAGGGAGAGAAGAACAGAGGGAGGGAAGCAGGGAAAAGGGAGAGAAGAACAGAGGGAGGGAAGCAGGGAAAAGGGAGAGAAGAACAGAGGGAGGGAAGCAGGGAAAAGGGAGAGAAGAACAGAGGGAGGGAAGCAGGGAAAAGGGAGAGAAGAACAGAGGGAGGGAAGCAGGGAAAAGGGAGAGAAGAACAGAGGGAGGGAAGCAGGGAAAAGGGAGAGAAGAACAGAGGGAGGGAAGCAGGGAAAAGGGAGAGAAGAACAGAGGGAGGGAAGCAGGGAAAAGGGAGAGAAGAACAGAGGGAGGGAAGCAGGGAAAAGGGAGAGAAGAACAGAGGGAGGGAAGCAGGGAAAAGGGAGAGAAGAACAGAGGGAGGGAAGCAGGGAAAAGGGAGAGAAGAACAGAGGGAGGGAAGCAGGGAAAAGGGAGAGAAGAACAGAGGGAGGGAAGCAGGGAAAAGGGAGAGAAGAACAGAGGGAGGGAAGCAGGGAAAAGGGAGAGAAGAACAGAGGGAGGGAAGCAGGGAAAAGGGAGAGAGAAGAACAGAGGGAGGGAAGCAGGGAAAAGGGAGAGAAGAACAGAGGGAGGGAAGCAGGGAAAAGGGAGAGAAGAACAGAGGGAGGGAAGCAGGGAAAAGGGAGAGAAGAACAGAGGGAGGGAAGCAGGGAAAAGGGAGAGAAGAACAGAGGGAGGGAAGCAGGGAAAAGGGAGAGAAGAACAGAGGGAGGGAAGCAGGGAAAAGGGAGAGAAGAACAGAGGGAGGGAAGCAGGGAAAAGGGAGAGAAGAACAGAGGGAGGGAAGCAGGGAAAAGGGAGAGAGACAGGGAGGGAAGCAGGGAAAAGGGAGAGAAGAACAGAGGGAGGGAAGCAGGGAAAAGGGAGAGAAGAACAGAGGGAGGGAAGCAGGGAAAAGGGAGAGAAGAACAGAGGGAGGGAAGCAGGGAAAAGGGAGAGAAGAACAGAGGGAGGGAAGCAGGGAAAAGGGAGAGAAGAACAGAGGGAGGGAAGCAGGGAAAAGGGAGAGAAGAACAGAGGGAGGGAAGCAGGGAAAAGGGAGAGAAGAACAGAGGGAGGGAAGCAGGGAAAAGGGAGAGAAGAACAGAGGGAGGGAAGCAGGGAAAAGGGAGAGAAGAACAGAGGGAGGGAAGCAGGGAAAAGGGAGAGAAGAACAGAGGGAGGGAAGCAGGGAAAAGGGAGAGAAGAACAGAGGGAGGGAAGCAGGGAAAAGGGAGAGAAGAACAGAGGGAGGGAAGCAGGGAAAAGGGAGAGAAGAGGAGAGCAGGGAAAGGGAGAGAGAGGGAGGGAAGCAGGGAAAAGGGAGAGAAGAACAGAGGGAGGGAAGCAGGGAAAAGGGAGAGAAGAACAGAGGGAGGGAAGCAGGGAAAAGGGAGAGAAGAACAGAGGGAGGGAAGCAGGGAAAAGGGAGAGAAGAACAGAGGGAGGGAAGCAGGGAAAAGGGAGAGAAGAACAGAGGGAGGGAAGCAGGGAAAAGGGAGAGAAGAACAGAGGGAGGGAAGCAGGGAAAAGGGAGAGAAGAACAGAGGGAGGGAAGCAGGGAAAAGGGAGAGAAGAACAGAGGGAGGGAAGCAGGGAAAAGGGAGAGAAGAACAGAGGGAGGGAAGCAGGGAAAAGGGAGAGAAGAACAGAGGGAGGGAAGCAGGGAAAAGGGAGAGAAGAACAGAGGGAGGGAAGCAGGGAAAAGGGAGAGAAGAACAGAGGGAGGGAAGCAGGGAAAAGGGAGAGAAGAACAGAGGGAGGGAAGCAGGGAAAAGGGAGAGAAGAACAGAGGGAGGGAAGCAGGGAAAAGGGAGAGAAGAACAGAGGGAGGGAAGCAGGGAAAAGGGAGAGAAGAACAGAGGGAGGGAAGCAGGGAAAAGGGAGAGAAGAACAGAGGGAGGGAAGCAGGGAAAAGGGAGAGAAGAACAGAGGGAGGGAAGCAGGGAAAAGGGAGAGAAGAACAGAGGGAGGGAAGCAGGGAAAAGGGAGAGAAGAACAGAGGGAGGGAAGCAGGGAAAAGGGAGAGAAGAACAGAGGGAGGGAAGCAGGGAAAAGGGAGAGAAGAACAGAGGGAGGGAAGCAGGGAAAAGGGAGAGAAGAACAGAGGGAGGGAAGCAGGGAAAAGGGAGAGAAGAACAGAGGGAGGGAAGCAGGGAAAAGGGAGAGAAGAACAGAGGGAGGGAAGCAGGGAAAAGGGAGAGAAGAACAGAGGGAGGGAAGCAGGGAAAAGGGAGAGAGAACAGAGGGAGGGAAGCAGAGGGAGGGAAGCAGGGAAAGGGAGAGAAGAACAGAGGGAGGGAAGCAGGGAAAAGGGAGAGAAGAACAGAGGGAGGGAAGCAGGGAAAAGGGAGAGAAGAACAGAGGGAGAGGAAGCAGGGAAAAGGGAGAGAAGAACAGAGGGAGGGAAGCAGGGAAAGGGAGAGAAGAACAGAGGGAGGGAAGCAGGAAAGGGAGAGAAGAACAGAGGGAGGGAAGCAGGGAAAAGGGAGAGAAGAACAGAGGGAGGGAAGCAGGGAAAAGGGAGAGAAGAACAGAGGGAGGGAAGCAGGGAAAAGGGAGAGAAGAACAGAGGGAGGGAAGCAGGGAAAAGGGAGAGAAGAACAGAGGGAGGGAAGCAGGGAAAAGGGAGAGAAGAACAGAGGGAGGGAAGCAGGGAAAAGGGAGAGAAGAACAGAGGGAGGGAAGCAGGGAAAAGGGAGAGAAGAACAGAGGGAGGGAAGCAGGGAAAAGGGAGAGAAGAACAGAGGGAGGGAAGCAGGGAAAAGGGAGAGAAGAACAGAGGGAGGGAAGCAGGGAAAAGGGAGAGAAGAACAGAGGGAGGGAAGCAGGGAAAAGGGAGAGAAGAACAGAGGGAGGGAAGCAGGGAAAAGGGAGAGAAGAACAGAGGGAGGGAAGCAGGGAAAAGGGAGAGAAGAACAGAGGGAGGGAAGCAGGGAAAAGGGAGAGAAGAACAGAGGGAGGGAAGCAGGGAAAAGGGAGAGAAGAACAGAGGGAGGGAAGCAGGGAAAAGGGAGAGAAGAACAGAGGGAGGGAAGCAGGGAAAAGGGAGAGAAGAACAGAGGGAGGGAAGCAGGGAAAAGGGAGAGAAGAACAGAGGGAGGGAAGCAGGGAAAAGGGAGAGAAGAACAGAGGGAGGGAAGCAGGGAAAAGGGAGAGAAGAACAGAGGGAGGGAAGCAGGGAAAAGGGAGAGAAGAACAGAGGGAGGGAAGCAGGGAAAAGGGAGAGAAGAACAGAGGGAGGGAAGCAGGGAAAAGGGAGAGAAGAACAGAGGGAGGGAAGCAGGGAAAAGGGAGAGAAGAACAGAGGGAGGGAAGCAGGGAAAAGGGAGAGAAGAACAGAGGGAGGGAAGCAGGGAAAAGGGAGAGAAGAACAGAGGGAGGGAAGCAGGGAAAAGGGAGAGAAGAACAGAGGGAGGGAAGCAGGGAAAAGGGAGAGAAGAACAGAGGGAGGGAAGCAGGGAAAAGGGAGAGAAGAACAGAGGGAGGGAAGCAGGGAAAAGGGAGAGAAGAACAGAGGGAGGGAAGCAGGGAAAAGGGAGAGAAGAACAGAGGGAGGGAAGCAGGGAAAAGGGAGAGAAGAACAGAGGGAGGGAAGCAGGGAAAAGGGAGAGAAGAACAGAGGGAGGGAAGCAGGGAAAAGGGAGAGAAGAACAGAGGGAGGGAAGCAGGGAAAAGGGAGAGAAGAACAGAGGGAGGGAAGCAGGGAAAAGGGAGAGAAGAACAGAGGGAGGGAAGCAGGGAAAAGGGAGAGAAGAACAGAGGGAGGGAAGCAGGGAAAAGGGAGAGAAGAACAGAGGGAGGGAAGCAGGGAAAAGGGAGAGAAGAACAGAGGGAGGGAAGCAGGGAAAAGGGAGAGAAGAACAGAGGGAGGGAAGCAGGGAAAAGGGAGAGAAGAACAGAGGGAGGGAAGCAGGGAAAAGGGAGAGAAGAACAGAGGGAGGGAAGCAGGGAAAAGGGAGAGAAGAACAGAGGGAGGGAAGCAGGGAAAAGGGAGAGAAGAACAGAGGGAGGGAAGCAGGGAAAAGGGAGAGAAGAACAGAGGGAGGGAAGCAGGGAAAAGGGAGAGAAGAACAGAGGGAGGGAAGCAGGGAAAAGGGAGAGAAGAACAGAGGGAGGGAAGCAGGGAAAGGGAGAGAAGAACAGAGGGAGGGAAGCAGGGAAAAGGGAGAGAAGAACAGAGGGAGGGAAGCAGGGAAAAGGGAGAGAAGAACAGAGGGAGGGAAGCAGGGAAAAGGGAGAGAAGAACAGAGGGAGGGAAGCAGGGAAAAGGGAGAGAAGAACAGAGGGAGGGAAGCAGGGAAAAGGGAGAGAAGAACAGAGGGAGGGAAGCAGGGAAAAGGGAGAGAAGAACAGAGGGAGGGAAGCAGGGAAAAGGGAGAGAAGAACAGAGGGAGGGAAGCAGGGAAAAGGGAGAGAAGAACAGAGGGAGGGAAGCAGGGAAAAGGGAGAGAAGAACAGAGGGAGGGAAGCAGGGAAAAGGGAGAGAAGAACAGAGGGAGGGAAGCAGGGAAAAGGGAGAGAAGAACAGAGGGAGGGAAGCAGGGAAAGGGAGAGAAGAACAGAGGGAGGGAAGCAGGGAAAAGGGAGAGAAGAACAGAGGGAGGGAAGCAGGGAAAAGGGAGAGAAGAACAGAGGGAGGGAAGCAGGGAAAAGGGAGAGAAGAACAGAGGGAGGGAAGCAGGGAAAAGGGAGAGAAGAACAGAGGGAGGGAAGCAGGGAAAAGGGAGAGAAGAACAGAGGGAGGGAAGCAGGGAAAGGGAGAGAAGAACAGAGGGAGGGAAGCAGGGAAAAGGGAGAGAAGAACAGAGGGAGGGAAGCAGGGAAAAGGGAGAGAAGAACAGAGGGAGGGAAGCAGGGAAAAGGGAGAGAAGAACAGAGGGAGGGAAGCAGGGAAAAGGGAGAGAAGAACAGAGGGAGGGAAGCAGGGAAAAGGGAGAGAAGAACAGAGGGAGGGAAGCAGGGAAAAGGGAGAGAAGAACAGAGGGAGGGAAGCAGGGAAAGGGAGAGAAGAACAGAGGGAGGGAAGCAGGGAAAAGGGAGAGAAGAACAGAGGGAGGGAAGCAGGGAAAAGGGAGAGAAGAACAGAGGGAGGGAAGCAGGGAAAAGGGAGAGAAGAACAGAGGGAGGGAAGCAGGGAAAAGGGAGAGAAGAACAGAGGGAGGGAAGCAGGAAAAGGGAGAGAAGAACAGAGGGAGGGAAGCAGGGAAAAGGGAGAGAAGAACAGAGGGAGGGAAGCAGGGAAAAGGGAGAGAAGAACAGAGGGAGGGAAGCAGGGAAAAGGGAGAGAAGAACAGAGGGAGGGAAGCAGGGAAAAGGGAGAGAAGAACAGAGGGAGGGAAGCAGGGAAAAGGGAGAGAAGAACAGAGGGAGGGAAGCAGGGAAAAGGGAGAGAAGAACAGAGGGAGGGAAGCAGGGAAAAGGGAGAGAAGAACAGAGGGAGGGAAGCAGGGAAAAGGGAGAGAAGAACAGAGGGAGGGAAGCAGGGAAAAGGGAGAGAAGAACAGAGGGAGGGAAGCAGGGAAAAGGGAGAGAAGAACAGAGGGAGGGAAGCAGGGGAAAGGGAGAGAAGAACAGAGGGAGAGAAGCAGGGGAAAGGGAGGAGAAGAAGCAGAGGGAGGGAAGCAGGGAAAAGGGAGAGAAGAACAGAGGGAGGGAAGCAGGGAAAAGGGAGAGAAGAACAGAGGGAGGGAAGCAGGGAAAAGGGAGAGAAGAACAGAGGGAGGGAAGCAGGGGAAAAGGGAGAGAAGAACAGAGGGAGGGAAGCAGGGAAAAGGGAGAGAAGAACAGAGGGAGGGAAGGCAGGGAAAAGGGAGAGAAGAACAGAGGGAGGGAAGCAGGGAAAAGGGAGAGAAGAACAGAGGGAGGGAAGCAGGGAAAAGGGAGAGAAGAACAGAGGGAGGGAAGCAGGGAAAAGGGAGAGAAGAACAGAGGGAGGGAAGCAGGGAAAAGGGAGAGAAGAACAGAGGGAGGGAAGCAGGGAAAAGGGAGAGAAGAACAGAGGGAGGGAAGCAGGGAAAAGGGAGAGAAGAACAGAGGGAGGGAAGCAGGGAAAAGGGAGAGAAGAACAGAGGGAGGGAAGCAGGGAAAAGGGAGAGAAGAACAGAGGGAGGGAAGCAGGGAAAAGGGAGAGAAGACAGAGGGAGGGAAGCAGGGGAAAGGGAGAGAAGAACAGAGGGAGGGAAGCAGGGAAAAGGGAGAGAAGAACAGAGGGAGGGAAGCAGGGAAAAGGGAGAGAAGAACAGAGGGAGGGAAGCAGGGAAAAGGGAGAGAAGAACAGAGGGAGGGAAGCAGGGAAAAGGGAGAGAAGAACAGAGGGAGGGAAGCAGGGAAAAGGGAGAGAAGAACAGAGGGAGGGAAGCAGGGAAAGGGAGAGAAGAACAGAGGGAGGGAAGCAGGGAAAAGGGAGAGAAGAACAGAGGGAGGGAAGCAGGGAAAAGGGAGAGAAGAACAGAGGGAGGGAAGCAGGGAAAAGGGAGAGAAGAACAGAGGGAGGGAAGCAGGGAAAAGGGAGAGAAGAACAGAGGGAGGGAAGCAGGTGAGAACAGAGGGGAGAAGGGAAGAACAGAGGGAGGGAAGCAGGGAAAAGGGAGAGAAGAACAGAGGGAGGGAAGCAGGGAAAGGGAGAGAAGAACAGAGGGAGGGAAGCAGGGAAAAGGGAGAGAAGAACAGAGGGAGGGAAGCAGGGAAAAGGGAGAGAAGAACAGAGGGAGGGAAGCAGGGAAAAGGGAGAGAAGAACAGAGGGAGGGAAGCAGGGAAAAGGGAGAGAAGAACAGAGGGAGGGAAGCAGGGAAAGGGAGAGAAGAACAGAGGGAGGGAAGCAGGGAAAAGGGAGAGAAGAACAGAGGGAGGGAAGCAGGGAAAAGGGAGAGAAGAACAGAGGGAAAGGGAGAGAAGAAAGGGGGAAGCAGGGAAAAGGGAGAGAAGAACAGAGGGAGGGAAGCAGGGAAAAGGGAGAGAAGAACAGAGGGAGGGAAGCAGGGAAAAGGGAGAGAAGAACAGAGGGAGGGAAGCAGGGAAAAGGGAGAGAAGAACAGAGGGAGGGAAGCAGGGAAAAGGGAGAGAAGAACAGAGGGAGGGAAGCAGGGAAAGGGAGAGAAGAACAGAGGGAGGGAAGCAGGGAAAGGAGAGAAGAACAGAGGGAGGGAAGCAGGGAAAAGGGAGAGAAGAACAGAGGGAGGGAAGCAGGGAAAAGGGAGAGAAGAACAGAGGGAGGGAAGCAGGGAAAAGGGAGAGAAGAACAGAGGGAGGGAAGCAGGGAAAAGGGAGAGAAGAACAGAGGGAGGGGAAGCAGGGAAAAGGGAGAGAAGAACAGAGGGAGGGAAGCAGGGAAAAGGGAGAGAAGAACAGAGGGAGGGAAGCAGGGAAAAGGGAGAGAAGAACAGAGGGAGGGAAGCAGGGAAAAGGGAGAGAAGAACAGAGGGAGGGAAGCAGGGAAAAGGGAGAGAAGAACAGAGGGAGGGAAGCAGGGGAAAAGGGAGAGAAGAACAGAGGGAGGGAAGCAGGGGAAAAGGGAGAGAAGAACAGAGGGAGGGAAGCAGGGAAAAGGGAGAGAAGAACAGAGGGAGGGAAGCAGGGAAAAGGGAGAGAAGAACAGAGGGAGGGAAGCAGGGAAAAGGGAGAGAAGAACAGAGGGAGGGAAGCAGGGAAAAGGGAGAGAAGAACAGAGGGAGGGAAGCAGGGAAAAGGGAGAGAAGAACAGAGGGAGGAAGCAGGGAAAAGGGAGAGAAGAACAGAGGGAGGGAAGCAGGGAAAAGGGAGAGAAGAACAGAGGGAGGGAAGCAGGGAAAGGGAGAGAAGAACAGAGGGAGGGAAGCAGGGAAAAGGGAGAGAAGAACAGAGGGAGGGAAGCAGGGAAAAGGGAGAGAAGAACAGAGGGAGGGAAGCAGGGAAAAGGGAGAGAAGAACAGAGGGAGGGAAGCAGGGAAAAGGGAGAGAAGAACAGAGGGAGGGAAGCAGGGAAAAGGGAGAGAAGAACAGAGGGAGGGAAGCAGGGAAAGGGAGAGAAGAACAGAGGGAGGGAAGCAGGGAAAAGGGAGAGAAGAACAAGGGAGGGAAGCAGGGAAAAGGGAGAGAAGAACAGAGGGAGGGAAGCAGGGAAAAGGGAGAGAAGAACAGAGGGAGGGAAGCAGGGAAAAGGGAGAGAAGAACAGAGGGAGGGAAGCAGGGAAAAGGGAGAGAAGAACAGAGGGAGGGAAGCAGGGAAAAGGGAGAGAAGAACAGAGGGAGGGAAGCAGGGAAAAGGGAGAGAAGAACAGAGGGAGGGAAGCAGGGAAAAGGGAGAGAAGAACAGAGGGAGGGAAGCAGGGAAAAGGGAGAGAAGAACAGAGGGAGGGAAGCAGGGAAAAGGGAGAGAAGAACAGAGGGAGGGAAGCAGGGAAAAGGGAGAGAAGAACAGAGGGAGGGAAGCAGGGAAAAGGGAGAGAATGAACAGAGGGAGGGAAGCAGGGAAAAGGGAGAGAAGAACAGAGGGAGGGAAGCAGGGAAAAGGGAGAGAAGAACAGAGGGAGGGAAGCAGGGAAAAGGGAGAGAAGAACAGAGGGAGGGAAGCAGGGAAAAGGGAGAGAAGAACAGAGGGAGGGAAGCAGGGAAAAGGGAGAGAAGAACAGAGGGAGGGAAGCAGGGAAAAGGGAGAGAAGAACAGAGGAGGGAAGCAGGGAAAAGGGAGAGAAGAACAGAGGGAGGGAAGGCAGGGAAAAGGGAGAGAAGAACAGAGGGAGGGAAGCAGGGAAAAGGGAGAGAAGAACAGAGGGAGGGAAGCAGGGAAAGGGAGAGAAGAACAGAGGGAGGGAAGCAGGGAAAAGGGAGAGAAGAACAGAGGGAGGGAAGCAGGGAAAAGGGAGAGAAGAACAGAGGGAGGGGAAGCAGGGAAAAGGGAGAGAAGAACAGAGGGAGGGAAGCAGGGAAAAGGGAGAGAAGAACAGAGGGAGGGAAGCAGGGAAAAGGGAGAGAAGAACAGAGGGAGGGAAGCAGGGAAAAGGGAGAGAAGAACAGAGGGAGGGAAGCAGGGAAAAGGGAGAGAAGAACAGAGGGAGGGAAGCAGGGAAAAGGGAGAGAAGAACAGAGGGAGGGAAGCAGGGAAAAGGGAGAGAAGAACAGAGGGAGGGAAGCAGGGAAAAGGGAGAGAAGAACAGAGGGAGGGAAGCAGGGAAAAGGGAGAGAAGAACAGAGGGAGGGAAGCAGGGAAAAGGGAGAGAAGAACAGAGGGAGGGAAGCAGGGAAAAGGGAGAGAAGACAGAGGGAGGGAAGCAGGGAAAAGGGAGAGAAGAACAGAGGGAGGGAAGCAGGGAAAAGGGAGAGAAGAACAGAGGGAGGGAAGCAGGGGAAAAGGGAGAGAAGAACAGAGGGAGGGAAGCAGGGAAAAGGGAGAGAAGAACAGAGGGAGGGAAGCAGGGAAAAGGGAGAGAAGAACAGAGGGAGGGAAGCAGGGAAAAGGGAGAGAAGAACAGAGGGAGGGAAGCAGGGAAAAGGGAGAGAAGAACAGAGTGTGAGGGAAGCAGGGGAAAAGGAGAGAGAAGATACAGAGGGAGGAAGCTAGGGAAAAGGGAGAGAGAACAGAGGGAGGGAAGCAGGGAAAAGGAGAGAAGAACAGAGGGAGGGAAGCAGGGAAAAGGGAGAGAAGAACAGAGGGGAGGGAAGCAGGGAAAAGGGAGAGAAGAACAGAGGGAGGGAAGCAGGGAAAAGGGAGAGAAGATACAGAGGGAGGGAAGCAGGGAAAAGGGAGAGAAGAACAGAGGGAGGGAAGCAGGGAAAGGGAGAGAAGAACAGAGGGAGGGAAGCAGGGAAAGGGAGAGAAGAACAGAGGGAGGGAAGCAGGGAAAGGGAGAGAAGAACAGAGGGAGGGAAGCAGGGAAAGGGAGAGAAGAACAGAGGAGGGAAGCAGGGGAAAAGGGAGAGAAGAACAGAGGGAGGGAAGCAGGGAAAAAGGAAGAGAAGAACAGAGGGAGGGAAGCAGGGAAAAGGGAGAGAAGAACAAGGGAGGGAAGCAGGGAAATATGGAGAGCAGAACAGAAGGAGGGGAGCAGGGAAAAGGGAGAGAAGAACAGAGGGAGGAAGCAGGGAAAAGGGAGAGAAGAACAGAGGGAGGGAAGCAGGGAAAAGGGAGAGAAGAACAGAGGGAGGGAAGCAGGGAAAGGGAGAGAAGAACAGAGGGAGGGAAGCAGGGAAAAGGGAGAGAAGAACAGAGGGAGGGAAGCAGGGGAAAGGGAGAGAAGAACAGAGGGAGGAAGCAGGGAAAAGGGAGAGAAGAAACAGAGGGAGGGAAGCAGGGAAAAGGGAGAGAAGAACAGAGGGAGGGAAGCAGGGAAAAGGGAGAGAAGAACAGAGGGAGGGAAGCAGGGAAAAGGGAGAGAAGAACAGAGGGAGGGAAGCAGGGAAAAGGGAGAGAAGAACAGAGGGAGGGAAGCAGGGAAAAGGGAGAGAAGAACAGAGGGAGGGAAGCAGGGAAAAGGGAGAGAAGAACAGAGGGAGGGAAGCAGGGAAAAGGGAGAGAAGAACAGAGGGAGGAAGCAGGGAAAAGGGAGAGAAGAACAGAGGGAGGGAAGCAGGGAAAAGGGAGAGAAGAACAGAGGGAGGGAAGCAGGGGAAAGGGAGAGAAGAACAGAGGGAGGGAAGCAGGAAAAGGGAGAGAAGAACAGAGGGAGGGAAGCAGGGAAAAGGGAGAGAAGAACAGAGGGAGGGAAGCAGGGAAAAGGGAGAGAAGAACAGAGGGAGGGAAGCAGGGAAAAGGGAGAGAAGAACAGAGGGAGGGAAGCAGGGAAAAGGGAGAGAAGAACAGAGGGAGGGAAGCAGGGAAAAGGGAGAGAAGAACAGAGGGAGGGAAGCAGGGAAAAGGGAGAGAAGAACAGAGGGAGGGAAGCAGGGAAAAGGGAGAGAAGAACAGAGGGAGGGAAGCAGGGAAAAGGGAGAGAAGAACAGAGGGAGGGAAGCAGGGAAAAGGGAGAGAAGAACAGAGGGAGGGAAGCAGGGAAAAGGGAGAGAAGAACAGAGGGAGGGAAGCAGGGAAAAGGGAGAGAAGAACAGAGGGAGGGAAGCAGGGAAAAGGGAGAGAAGAACAGAGGGAGGGAAGCAGGGAAAAGGGAGAGAAGAACAGAGGGAGGGAAGCAGGGAAAAGGGAGAGAAGAACAGAGGGAGGGAAGCAGGGAAAAGGGAGAGAAGAACAGAGGGAGGGAAGCAGGGAAAAGGGAGAGAAGAACAGAGGGAGGGAAGCAGGGAAAAGGGAGAGAAGAACAGAGGGAGGGAAGCAGGGAAAAGGGAGAGAAGAACAGAGGGAGGGAAGCAGGGAAAAGGGAGAGAAGAACAGAGGGAGGGAAGCAGGGAAAAGGGAGAGAAGAACAGAGGGAGGGAAGCAGGGAAAAGGGAGAGAAGAACAGAGGGAGGGAAGCAGGGAAAGGGAGAGAAGAACAGAGGGAGGGAAGCAGGGAAAGGGAGAGAAGAACAGAGGGAGGGAAGCAGGGAAAAGGGAGAGAAGAACAGAGGGAGGGAAGCAGGGAAAAGGGAGAGAAGAACAGAGGGAGGGAAGCAGGAAAAGGGAGAGAAGAACAGAGGGAGGGAAGCAGGGAAAAGGGAGAGAAGAACAGAGGGAGGGAAGCAGGGAAAGGGAGAGAAGAACAGAGGGATGAAGGGAGAGAAGACAGAGGGAGGGAAGAAGGGAGAGAAGAACAGAGGGAGGGAAGCAGGGAAAAGGGAGAGAAGAACAGAGGGAGGGAAGCAGGGAAAAGGGAGAGAAGAACAGAGGGAGGGAAGCAGGGAAAAGGGAGAGAAGAACAGAGGGAGGGAAGCAGGGAAAGGGAGAGAAACAGGAGGAAGGAAGGAGAGAAGAACAGAGGGAGGGAAGCAGGGAAAAGGGAGAGAAGAACAGAGGGAGGGAAGCAGGGAAAAGGGAGAGAAGAACAGAGGGAGGGAAGCAGGGAAAAGGGAGAGAAGAACAGAGGGAGGGAAGCAGGGAAAAGGGAGAGAAGAACAGAGGGAGGGAAGCAGGGAAAAGGGAGAGAAGAACAGAGGGAGGGAAGCAGGGAAAAGGGAGAGAAGAACAGAGGGAGGGAAGCAGGGAAAAGGGAGAGAAGAACAGAGGGAGGGAAGCAGGGAAAAGGGAGAGAAGAACAGAGGGAGGGAAGCAGGGAAAAGGGAGAGAAGAACAGAGGGAGGGAAGCAGGGAAAAGGGAGAGAAGAACAGAGGGAGGGAAGCAGGGAAAGGGAGAGAAGAACAGAGGGAGGGAAGCAGGGAAAAGGGGAGAGAAGAACAGAGGGAGGGAAGCAGGGAAAAGGGAGAGAAGAACAGAGGGAGGGAAGCAGGGAAAAGGGAGAGAAGAACAGAGGGAGGGAAGCAGGGAAAAGGGAGAGAAGAACAGAGGGAGGGAAGCAGGGAAAAGGGAGAGAAGAACAGAGGGAGGGAAGCAGGGAAAAGGGAGAGAAGAACAGAGGGAGGGAAGCAGGGAAAAGGGAGAGAAGAACAGAGGGAGGGAAGCAGGGAAAAGGGAGAGAAGAACAGAGGGAGGGAAGCAGGGAAAAGGGAGAGAAGAACAGAGGGAGGGAAGCAGGGAAAAGGGAGAGAAGAACAGAGGGAGGGAAGCAGGGAAAAGGGAGAGAAGAACAGAGGGAGGGAAGCAGGGAAAAGGGAGAGAAGAACAGAGGGAGGAAGCAGGGAAAAAGGGAGAGAAGAACAGAGGGAGGGAAGCAGGGAAAAGGGAGAGAAGAACAGAGGGAGGGAAGCAGGGAAAAGGGAGAGAAGAACAGAGGGAGGGAAGCAGGGAAAAGGGAGAGAAGAACAGAGGGAGGGAAGCAGGGAAAAGGGAGAGAAGAACAGAGGGAGGGAAGCAGGGAAAAGGGAGAGAAGAACAGAGGGAGGGAAGCAGGGAAAGGAGAGAAGACAGGGAGGGAAGCAGGGAAAAGGGAGAGAAAACAGAGGGAGGGAAGCAGGGAAAAGGGAGAGAAGAACAGAGGGAGGGAAGCAGGGAAAAGGGAGGAGAAGAACAGAGGGAGGGAAGCAGGGAAAAGGGAGAGAAGAACAGAGGGAGGGAAGCAGGGAAAAGGGAGAGAAGAACAGAGGGAGGGAAGCAGGGAAAAGGGAGAGAAGAACAGAGGGAGGGAAGCAGGGAAAAGGGAGAGAAGAACAGAGGGAGGGAAGCAGGGAAAAGGGAGAGAAGAACAGAGGGAGGGAAGCAGGGAAAAGGGAGAGAAGAACAGAGGGAGGGAAGCAGGGAAAAGGGAGAGAAGAACAGAGGGAGGGAAGCAGGGAAAAGGGAGAGAAGAACAGAGGGAGGGAAGCAGGGAAAAGGGAGAGAAGAACAGAGGGAGGGAAGCAGGGAAAAGGGAGAGAAGAACAGAGGGAGGGAAGCAGGGAAAAGGGAGAGAAGAACAGAGGGAGGGAAGCAGGGAAAAGGGAGAGAAGAACAGAGGGAGGGAAGCAGGAAAAGGGAGAGAAGAACAGAGGGAGGGAAGCAGGGAAAAGGGAGAGAAGAACAGAGGGAGGGAAGCAGGGAAAAGGGAGAGAAGAACAGAGGGAGGGAAGCAGGGAAAAGGGAGAGAAGAACAGAGGGAGGGAAGCAGGGAAAAGGGAGAGAAGAACAGAGGGAGGGAAGCAGGGAAAAGGGAGAGAAGAACAGAGGGAGGGAAGCAGGGAAAAGGGAGAGAAGAACAGAGGGAGGGAAGCAGGGAAAAGGGAGAGAAGAACAGAGGGAGGGAAGCAGGGAAAAGGGAGAGAAGAACAGAGGGAGGGAAGCAGGGAAAAGGGAGAGAAGAACAGAGGGAGGGAAGCAGGGGAAAGGGGGAGAGAAGAACAGAGGGAGGGAAGCAGGGAAAAGGGAGAGAAGAACAGAGGGAGGGAAGCAGGGAAAAGGGAGAGAAGAACAGAGGGAGGGAAGCAGGGAAAAGGGAGAGAAGAACAGAGGGAGGGAAGCAGGGAAAAGGGAGAGAAGAACAGAGGGAGGGAAGCAGGGAAAAGGGAGAGAAGAACAGAGGGAGGGAAGCAGGGAAAAGGGAGAGAAGAACAGAGGGAGGGAAGCAGGGAAAGGGAGAGAAGAACAGAGGGAGGGAAGCAGGGAAAAGGGAGAGAAGAACAGAGGGAGGGAAGCAGGGAAAAGGGAGAGAAGAACAGAGGGAGGGAAGCAGGGAAAAGGGAGAGAAGAACAGAGGGAGGGAAGCAGGGAAAAGGGAGAGAAGAACAGAGGGAGGGAAGCAGGGAAAAGGGAGAGAAGAACAGAGGGAGGGAAGCAGGGAAAAGGGAGAGAAGAACAGAGGGAGGGAAGCAGGGAAAAGGGAGAGAAGAACAGAGGGAGGGAAGCAGGGAAAAGGGAGAGAAGAACAGAGGGAGGGAAGCAGGGAAAAGGGAGAGAAGAACAGAGGGAGGGAAGCAGGGAAAAGGGAGAGAAGAACAGAGGGAGGGAAGCAGGGAAAAGGGAGAGAAGAACAGAGGGAGGGAAGCAGGGAAAAGGGAGAGAAGAACAGAGGGAGGGAAGCAGGGAAAAGGGAGAGAAGAACAGAGGGAGGGAAGCAGGGAAAAGGGAGAGAAGAAGGGGGAGGAGAAGAACAGAGGGAGGGAAGCAGGGAAAAGGAGAGAAGAACAGAGGGAGGGAAGCAGGGAAAAGGGAGAGAAGAACAGAGGGAGGGAAGCAGGGAAAAGGGAGAGAAGAACAGAGGGAGGGAAGCAGGGAAAAGGGAGAGAAGAACAGAGGGAGGGAAGCAGGGAAAAGGGAGAGAAGAACAGAGGGAGGGAAGCAGGGAAAAGGGAGAGAAGAACAGAGGGAGGGAAGCAGGGAAAAGGGAGAGAAGAACAGAGGGAGGGAAGCAGGGAAAAGGGAGAGAAGAACAGAGGGAGGGAAGCAGGGAAAAGGGAGAGAAGAACAGAGGGAGGGAAGCAGGGAAAAGGGAGAGAAGAACAGAGGGAGGGAAGCAGGGAAAAGGGAGAGAAGAACAGAGGGAGGGAAGCAGGGAAAAGGGAGAGAAGAACAGAGGGAGGGAAGCAGGGAAAAGGGAGAGAAGAACAGAGGGAGGGAAGCAGGGAAAAGGGAGAGAAGAACAGAGGGAGGGAAGCAGGGAAAAGGGAGAGAAGAGGGAGGAAGCAGGAAGGGAGAGGAGACAGGGGAAGGGAAGCAGGGAAAAGGGAGAGAAGAACAGAGGGAGGGAAGCAGGGAAAAGGGAGAGAAGAACAGAGGGAGGGAAGCAGGGAAAAGGGAGAGAAGAACAGAGGGAGGGAAGCAGGGAAAAGGGAGAGAAGAACAGAGGGAGGGAAGCAGGGAAAAGGGAGAGAAGAACAGAGGGAGGGAAGCAGGGAAAAGGGAGAGAAGAACAGAGGGAGGGAAGCAGGGAAAGGGAGAGAAGAACAGAGGGAGGGAAGCAGGGAAAAGGGAGAGAAGAACAGAGGGAGGGAAGCAGGGAAAAGGGAGAGAAGAACAGAGGGAGGGAAGCAGGGAAAAGGGAGAGAAGAACAGAGGGAGGGAAGCAGGGAAAAGGGAGAGAAGAACAGAGGGAGGGAAGCAGGGAAAAGGGAGAGAAGAACAGAGGGAGGGAAGCAGGGAAAAGGGAGAGAAGAACAGAGGGAGGGAAGCAGGGAAAAGGGAGAGAAGAACAGAGGGAGGGAAGCAGGGAAAAGGGAGAGAAGAACAGAGGGAGGGAAGCAGGGAAAAGGGAGAGAAGAACAGAGGGAGGGAAGCAGGGAAAAGGGAGAGAAGAACAGAGGGAGGGAAGCAGGGAAAAGGGAGAGAAGAACAGAGGGAGGGAAGCAGGGAAAAGGGAGAGAAGAACAGAGGGAGGGAAGCAGGGAAAGGGAGAGAAGAACAGAGGGAGGGAAGCAGGGAAAGGGAGAGAAGAACAGAGGGAGGGAAGCAGGGAAAAGGGAGAGAAGAACAGAGGGAGGGAAGCAGGGAAAAGGGAGAGAAGAACAGAGGGAGGGAAGCAGGGAAAAGGGAGAGAAGAACAGAGGGAGGGAAGCAGGGAAAAGGGAGAGAAGAACAGAGGGAGGGAAGCAGGGGAAAGGGAGAGAAGAACAGAGGGAGGGAAGCAGGGAAAAGGGAGAGAAGAACAGAGGGAGGGAAGCAGGGAAAAGGGAGAGAAGAACAGAGGGAGGGAAGCAGGGAAAAGGGAGAGAAGAACAGAGGGAGGGAAGCAGGGAAAAGGGAGAGAAGAACAGAGGGAGGGAAGCAGGGAAAAGGGAGAGAAGAACAGAGGGAGGGAAGCAGGGAAAAGGGAGAGAAGAACAGAGGGAGGGAAGCAGGGAAAGGGAGAGAAGAACAGAGGGAGGGAAGCAGGGAAAAGGGAGAGAAGAACAGAGGGAGGGAAGCAGGGAAAAGGGAGAGAAGAACAGAGGGAGGGAAGCAGGGAAAAGGGAGAGAAGAACAGAGGGAGGGAAGCAGGGAAAAGGGAGAGAAGAACAGAGGGAGGGAAGCAGGGAAAAGGGAGAGAAGAACAGAGGGAGGGAAGCAGGGAAAAGGGAGAGAAGAACAGAGGGAGGGAAGCAGGGAAAAGGGAGAGAAGAACAGAGGGAGGGAAGCAGGGAAAGGGAGAGAAGAACAGAGGGAGGGAAGCAGGGAAAAGGGAGAGAAGAACAGAGGGAGGGAAGCAGGGAAAAGGGAGAGAAGAACAGAGGGAGGGAAGCAGGGAAAAGGGAGAGAAGAACAGAGGGAGGGAAGCAGGGAAAAGGGAGAGAAGAACAGAGGGAGGGAAGCAGGGAAAAGGGAGAGAAGAACAGAGGGAGGGAAGCAGGGAAAAGGGAGAGAAGAACAGAGGGAGGGAAGCAGGGAAAAGGGAGAGAAGAACAGAGGGAGGGAAGCAGGGAAAAGGGAGAGAAGAACAGAGGGAGGGAAGCAGGGAAAAGGGAGAGAAGAACAGAGGGAGGGAAGCAGGGAAAGGGAGAGAAGAACAGAGGGAGGGAAGCAGGGAAAAGGGAGAGAAGAACAGAGGGAGGGAAGCAGGGAAAGGGAGAGAAGAACAGAGGGAGGGAAGCAGGGAAAAGGGAGAGAAGAACAGAGGGAGGGAAGCAGGGAAAAGGGAGAGAAGAACAGAGGGAGGGAAGCAGGGAAAAGGGAGAGAAGAACAGAGGGAGGGAAGCAGGGAAAAGGGAGAGAAGAACAGAGGGAGGGAAGCAGGAAAAGGGAGAGAAGAACAGAGGGAGGGAAGCAGGGAAAAGGGAGAGAAGAACAGAGGGAGGGAAGCAGGGAAAAGGGAGAGAAGAACAGAGGGAGGGAAGCAGGGAAAAGGGAGAGAAGAACAGAGGGAGGGAAGCAGGGAAAAGGGAGAGAAGAACAGAGGGAGGGAAGCAGGGAAAAGGGAGAGAAGAACAGAGGGAGGGAAGCAGGGAAAAGGGAGAGAAGAACAGAGGGAGGGAAGCAGGGAAAAGGGAGAGAAGAACAGAGGGAGGGAAGCAGGGAAAAGGGAGAGAAGAACAGAGGGAGGGAAGCAGGGAAAAGGGAGAGAAGAACAGAGGGAGGGAAGCAGGGAAAAGGGAGAGAAGAACAGAGGGAGGGAAGCAGGGAAAAGGGAGAGAAGAACAGAGGGAGGGAAGCAGGGAAAAGGGAGAGAAGAACAGAGGGAGGGAAGCAGGGAAAAGGGAGAGAAGAACAGAGGGAGGGAAGCAGGGAAAAGGGAGAGAAGAACAGAGGGAGGGAAGCAGGGAAAAGGGAGAGAAGAACAGAGGGAGGGAAGCAGGGAAAAGGGAGAGAAGAACAGAGGGAGGGAAGCAGGGAAAGGGAGAGAAGAACAGAGGGAGGGAAGCAGGGAAAAGGGAGAGAAGAACAGAGGGAGGGAAGCAGGGAAAAGGGAGAGAAGAACAGAGGGAGGGAAGCAGGGAAAAGGGAGAGAAGAACAGAGGGAGGGAAGCAGGGAAAAGGGAGAGAAGAACAGAGGGAGGGAAGCAGGGAAAAGGGAGAGAAGAACAGAGGGAGGGAAGCAGGGAAAAGGGAGAGAAGAACAGAGGGAGGGAAGCAGGGAAAAGGGAGAGAAGAACAGAGGGAGGGAAGCAGGGAAAGGGAGAGAAGAACAGAGGGAGGGAAGCAGGGAAAAGGGAGAGAAGAACAGAGGGAGGGAAGCAGGGAAAGGGAGAGAAGAACAGAGGGAGGGAAGCAGGGAAAAGGGAGAGAAGAACAGAGGGAGGGAAGCAGGGAAAAGGGAGAGAAGAACAGAGGGAGGGAAGCAGGGAAAAGGGAGAGAAGAACAGAGGGAGGGAAGCAGGGAAAAGGGAGAGAAGAACAGAGGGAGGGAAGCAGGGAAAAGGGAGAGAAGAACAGAGGGAGGGAAGCAGGGAAAAGGGAGAGAAGAACAGAGGGAGGGAAGCAGGGAAAAGGGAGAGAAGAACAGAGGGAGGGAAGCAGGGAAAAGGGAGAGAAGAACAGAGGGAGGGAAGCAGGGAAAAGGGAGAGAAGAACAGAGGGAGGGAAGCAGGGAAAGGGAGAGAAGAACAGAGGGAGGGAAGCAGGGAAAAGGGAGAGAAGAACAGAGGGAGGGAAGCAGGGAAAAGGGAGAGAAGAACAGAGGGAGGGAAGCAGGGAAAAGGGAGAGAAGAACAGAGGGAGGGAAGCAGGGAAAAGGGAGAGAAGAACAGAGGGAGGGAAGCAGGGAAAAGGGAGAGAAGAACAGAGGGAGGGAAGCAGGGGAAAAGGGAGAGAAGAACAGAGGGAGGGAAGCAGGGAAAAGGAGAGAAGAACAGAGGGAGGGAAGCAGGGAAAAGGGAGAGAAGAACAGAGGGAGGGAAGCAGGGAAAAGGGAGAGAAGAACAGAGGGAGGGAAGCAGGGAAAAGGGAGAGAAGAACAGAGGGAGGGAAGCAGGGAAAAGGGAGAGAAGAACAGAGGGAGGGAAGCAGGGAAAAGGGAGAGAAGAACAGAGGGAGGGAAGCAGGGAAAAGGGAGAGAAGAACAGAGGGAGGGAAGCAGGGAAAAGGGAGAGAAGAACAGAGGGAGGGAAGCAGGGAAAAGGGAGAGAAGAACAGAGGGAGGGAAGCAGGGAAAAGGGAGAGAAGAACAGAGGGAGGGAAGCAGGGAAAAGGGAGAGAAGAACAGAGGGAGGGAAGCAGGGAAAAGGGAGAGAAGAACAGAGGGAGGGAAGCAGGGAAAAGGGAGAGAAGAACAGAGGGAGGGAAGCAGGGAAAAGGGAGAGAAGAACAGAGGGAGGGAAGCAGGGAAAAGGGAGAGAAGAACAGAGGGAGGGAAGCAGGGAAAAGGGAGAGAAGAACAGAGGGAGGGAAGCAGGGAAAAGGGAGAGAAGAACAGAGGGAGGGAAGCAGGGAAAAGGGAGAGAAGAACAGAGGGAGGGAAGCAGGGAAAAGGGAGAGAAGAACAGAGGGAGGGAAGCAGGGAAAAGGGAGAGAAGAACAGAGGGAGGGAAGCAGGGGAAAAGGGAGAGAAGAACAGAGGGAGGGAAGCAGGGAAAAGGGAGAGAAGAACAGAGGGAGGGAAGCAGGGAAAAGGGAGAGAAGAACAGAGGGAGGGAAGCAGGGAAAAGGGAGAGAAGAACAGAGGGAGGGAAGCAGGGAAAAGGGAGAGAAGAACAGAGGGAGGGAAGCAGGGAAAAGGGAGAGAAGAACAGAGGGAGGGAAGCAGGGAAAAGGGAGAGAAGAACAGAGGGAGGGAAGCAGGGAAAAGGGAGAGAAGAACAGAGGGAGGGAAGCAGGGAAAAGGGAGAGAAGAACAGAGGGAGGGAAGCAGGGAAAAGGGAGAGAAGAACAGAGGGAGGGAAGCAGGGAAAAGGGAGAGAAGAACAGAGGGAGGGAAGCAGGGAAAAGGGAGAGAAGAACAGAGGGAGGGAAGCAGGGAAAGGGAGAGAAGAACAGAGGGAGGGAAGCAGGGGAAAGGGAGAGAAGAACAGAGGGAGGGAAGCAGGGAAAAGGGAGAGAAGAACAGAGGGAGGGAAGCAGGGAAAAGGGAGAGAAGAACAGAGGGAGGGAAGCAGGGAAAAGGGAGAGAAGAACAGAGGGAGGGAAGCAGGGAAAAGGGAGAGAAGAACAGAGGGAGGGAAGCAGGGAAAAGGGAGAGAAGAACAGAGGGAGGGAAGCAGGGAAAAGGGAGAGAAGAACAGAGGGAGGGAAGCAGGGAAAAGGGAGAGAAGAACAGAGGGAGGGAAGCAGGGAAAAGGGAGAGAAGAACAGAGGGAGGTAAGCAGGGAAAAGGGAGAGCAGAACAGAGGGAGGGAAGCAGGGAAAAGGGAGGGAAGAACAGAGGGAGGGAAGCAGGGAAAAGGGAGAGAAGAACAGAGGGAGGGAAGCAGGGAAAAGGGTGCGGGCATGGGGGAGAGGCTGACTCGCACTGGCACTGGTGGGAGGGGAGGTGAGGGAGGGAGAGGGGAGGGGAAGGGAGAGAGGGAAAGAGGGGAGAGTGGTTTCACATGCACGCAGGAGGGGGTGCGTGGAGGGTGCGGGCATGGGGAGAGGCTGACCCGCACTGGAAATGGTGGGAGGGAGCGAGGGGGTAAAGGAGGGACGGGGTAAAACAGAACAGAGGGTGGGTGGGTGGAACGGGGAGAGAAACTGTGTTTGATGCGCCTGCACAGACATTTCTCCCACGCTCCTCAATGGCACTGGTAATGGGAGGGAAGGTGCGGAGGGAAGGTGCGGAGGGAAGGGAGAAGAGAGTGCGCACGAGCGTGAAATCGTTCAGCTCAGTGCAGTGCAGCAGCAGCGCCGCAATGCCCTTGCCGCCGAAAAGTAACAAGCACTGCACACACCAGGACATACCCCTGTTTTCACGCATCAGCCCCATCCCACCTACCTGTGCACAAGAGTCAGGTCGTTCAGCTCAGTGCAGTGCAGCAGCAGCGCCGCAATGCCCTTGCCGCCGAACCGGTAATTGTCCGCCACAAACTTGTGCAGCCCCGTGCACGAGCGCGCAATTGCCTCCATGCCCGCGTCTGTCACCTGGTGTTTAATACATATCCCACAGGCATAGCAAGGCAGGGAGGAAGGAGGGGGGCAAGTTATCACATGAACCGGTAGTTGTCCGCCATAGCGCGAGTGCGCTATTGCCACACACAAACTTGGGCAGGCAGGCCACTGCACGAGTGCGCTATTGCCTCTTGCCTCCATCCCCGCATCTGTCACCTGGTGGGGATGAATGCAAGAGGAAAGCAAAGCAGTGAGCAGAGAGCACACCAAACCGATGGTTGTCCGCCACAGACTTGTGCAGCCACAGACTTGTGCAGCCACAGACTTGTGCAGCCACAGACTTGTGCAGCCACAGACTTGTGCAGCCACAGACTTGTGCAGCCACAGACTTGTGCAGCCGCAAACTTGTGCAGCCGCAAACTTGTGCAGCCACAAACTTGTGCAGCCGCAAACTTGTGCAGCCACAAACTTGTGCAGCCGCAAACTTGTGCAGCCACAAACTTGTGCAGCCGCAAACTTGTGCAGCCACAAACTTGTGCAGCCGCAAACTTGTGCAGCCACAAACTTGTGCAGCCGCAAACTTGTGCAGCCACAAACTTGTGCAGCCACAAACTTGTGCAGCCACAAACTTGTGCAGCCACAAACTTGTGCAGCCACAAACCTGCCCACGGGTTGTCACCTGCCCACGGGTTGTCACCTGCCCACGGGTTGTCACCTGCCCACGGGTTGTCACCTGCCCACGGGTTGTCACCTACCCACGTGTTGACACCACCTATGGTCAAACCGTCTCAACCGGAGCAGCGGCATACGTCAAGGCAGTAGCGCAGATTGAGCTTCTTGAGGCGCAGCACAGCAGAGAGCGAGCAATGAGCTCTCCAGAAACGAGCCCCGTTCACCTCTTTGCCCATGCGCCACGCTTCCGAAACCCAGCTTCTTCTTTTCATAATTCTAAGAACTGAACTGAACTCAACTCATAGATCCACTTTTTGAGTCGACTCAAAAATCCAAGTGTCATAACTGAACTGAACGCAACTAGATAGATCCACTGGTCACCTGAACTGGACTGGAGAAGCATACCTCGAGTCGAGGCAGTTGCAAGCTATGAGCTCTGGAACAACGGTACACCTCGAGGCAGTTGCGCAGATAGGGCTTCTTGATGTGGGGCAGCGTGCGAGCGAGCCATGAGCCATGAGCTCTGTAGAGGGCATGTGGGGTATCGTACAGCCCGTCCTGTCCCTGCCAGGCCACGCCCCACATGTCCTTCGACTCAAGCCGCCAAACCTTCAGGACAGGAACAGAACAGCGTGCGCACCTCGAGGCAGTTGCGCGGATCCAGCTTCTTCAACTGCGGCAGAGAGCGAGCTATGAGCTGCACACTCGTGTCCCCTATGCTCCTCCTCGCCTAAAGCCTACTTTCTGCACGGCACGCCCAACATATCCCCAGCTGTGAACAAACTGTTTGGCCACCTGGACTGGACAGGAGGGACGTACCTCGAGGCAGTTGCGCAAATCCAACTTCTTGAGGTGGGGCAGAGAGCGAGCTATGAGCTGTAGACTCGTATCCCCTATGCTCCTCGCCGGGTTGGGTTTCCTCCCCATCCCCCCACACACATACCCGCCCGCATACCCCCCCCCTCCGCCTCCGCCTCCGCCTCCCCCCATCTGATGCGCCTGCTGATAGTGATAATACTGGTAGTCCCCCCCCCCGCCTGCCCCGCCCGCGCCCTCTCTTCCGCCGCCGCCCCCCCTCGCGCTGCTGCTTCCAACTTCCCCCGCGGGCGCGAGGAGGGCGGGTGGGGGGTGGTCGCAGCGGAGGGTGAGGCGCTGGAGGGCGGAGAAGCGGAGGAGGAGCGCGGGGAGGAGGGGGGAGAGGTGGAAGGAGGCGCGCAGAGCCATGCGCGTACGAGAGGACGCGTCGAGACTGTAGGGGGAGGGGTGGTGGAGGATGGAGAGGCGTGGGGTGGGGTGGAGAGGGGTGGAGAGGGATGGAGGGAGGTGGAGGGGGGAAGGAGAGGGGTGGAAAAGGGATGAAGAGGGTTGAAAGGGGGAAAGACGACGAGGGAGGGGAATAAGGAAAAGGAGAAAGGGGCACAACGGAACAACGGAACGTGATGGTACTTGTAATGCATTTCAGAAAAAAGAAAACGAGGGTGGGAGGAGGAATGGGGAAGTGGGAGTGGGACGGGGAAAGGGAAGTGGAGAGAGGGTACTTGAAGCTCGTTCAACCATGAAACCCCCTGCAGCAAGTGCATAAGGAAAGCTAGAAAGAGACTTGTTGTTGCCCTTCGTCCTCCCTTTTCCCCCTTCCCAGTGCCCCCTCCCCTCTCCTCCACCCACTCCTCCCCGTTTCTCACTCCTCCCCAGCTATTCAATCTTCCCCAACATTCACTCACACTCCCAAAAAAAAACTCATTCCACCCAATATACTTACTCTCTCCACCGTGGGCACACGAGGGAGCAACGGTTCAGATCAGCCGAGGACAGCTTCCGGAAAATCAGGATCAGGCAATCGTCGGGCACGCTGCTCAGCTCCGTCGGATCCGCCTCTTCCGCCGCTGCTGACGTGTCACCAGATGCGCCTTTCGCGGCGCCATTCGCGGCGCCACGGAAACTCTTCTCCAGCCATGGATGGTCCTCCTCCTCCTCCTTTGCGCTCTCCGCGATCGCGCTTCGAAGGGAAAGCACCTGAGGGAATCGCTGAAGCGGCCGTGCGACGCCGTCGCCCGCTAGCTGTCTAATCGGCGACAAACGCGGCGACAGAAGCGGCGACAGAAGGGTCTCTTCCTGCTGCTGCCGCCGTCTCCCGGCTTCTGGCCTTGATCCGTCCATTGCTAGCTGACGTGGCTCGTCGTAATTGGGTCCAGGGAAGATTCTTATCAAACAAGCCACTTCTGCTCGTGCCGGACCTAGTTGGGTTGAATGGATAGCCCAACTGAAGAAGCCCTAGTTGCTTTGGCAACTAAAAAGCCCAGTCAATCCGACGATCAGTTTCCTACCGAAGTCTTCCTTGGATAACTTCTGAGACTTTTTGAAGCGATTCGGAAAACCCTAACTCGGACGAAAGGCGTCACGAATGGCCCTGGAAATTATTTTGAGGCGCCTCAAGAACGGACGTCGAGAACTTTTGAGACTAGATAGAATGATTCGATGAAACCTAACTCGGGCGAACGGCGTAAAAAATCAGCCTTGAAAATGTTTGGCTTCAAAGGCGGCGCGATGCCTCGGCAATCGATGAGTTCACCCAAGAATCGCGATGCCTCGGCACTGGAACTGGAATAGAATCCTTCAACTGCACGTATGGCGGGCCCCGATGCGACAAGCAGCTTGTGCGATAAGGCAAATAGGTTCTAGTTAGTTGGGAATGATACGGACTACGTAATTCATTGCAAGCTAACAAACGAGCGAGGAACAGAGAAGACGGACCAAAAGCTACAGTACCAGCTGGTGCAAGCTTTTCTGCCAGGTCCAACACAAGACGTGTGTTTGTGCCACCACAACCACATCAGACACGAAGAAACCATGAAAAGAAATTGACTTTGTGGCCGCAGAACCGTAGTTACGCACTTCACTAACGCTCTGAACCGTACAGAAGAGCTGTTTTGTTGCCATATCAGACAGGATGGTTGCGAGGTTTGCTCTGTTTTCCCCCCAAGCCCCAACGCGCAGAGAGCAGGTCAACGGCTCGTCTGAAACGGTCAAAGACGTTTGATATCAATTTTCGGTTTTTTTTTCCATCGCTTTAGACGACTGTGCACCAGACTGAACCGTCTGTAAAAGCTCTGTCGACTTTTCCCCACGCACAGAAGGCACATCCGCCACACCCGTCCGATCGGAATCCAGTTGCGAAAAACGGGGCGGCCGGCTGGCCTCGCCACGCGAAAAATCGCTTGTGGCTGGCTCTGTAACGCCAGCCACACGTTACGCGTCACATCCTTCCTACCAGGAAACTCGCTCTACAGAAAAGCATGAAACCGCCCTAGGAATAATAATTATAATACAAATTAGGAAGATGTAACAGCACACACCTTTGCTTTAAAAAATCATCCTGTAGTGCTAATGACAGTCACAAATATTAGTCTCTGGATCATTCCCGTCACATCTTGGTTTGACTTCACATGTTTCTTCAATAGATTATGACAGTTGTGTCTGCTTGCTATCATCATGAAGTCACGTTAATGACTGCAGTGTTTCAAATTGAATGGTGGTTTTCGCCCATGCAGTATTGTTAGCTGAAGTATCTATAACGAGTATGGTAGCAGTTCCAGCTCTGTTTTCAGAACAATCGGAGGCAGTACAACCTGGTGCGGCGAGCCCACGAGATCTATCGCACACAACTCACTCACCAAGTACGACTCTCGCACCACCTTGCACCACCCCGCACCATTAGCACCTCACATTACCTGCTCCCCACGGAACCCGCTCAAGGCGCATATGTGACTCGCATCGCGCTCACTCCGCGCGTCGCAGTCACACATAGTACTAATCTAGATGACTTTTCAAAGAGTGGACGACTCCCGTACCACCCGCCGCACCACCCGCCGCTCCACCCGTTTAGCCGCTCACCTCACCCGCCCTCCACGCACCCCGGTTCCGCCAAGATTGAACGTTATATCACTCATTTTTTTCCCAATCGTTTGGCGCGGTTCTGCTCAGTACCCCCCACCGGAGGGAAAGGGGCAGACGCAGGGAAGAACAAGGGTGGGGTGGGGATTTGAAAGAAAGAATAAAGGCGATTTGAGAAGGGAAGGGATTGCAGGGACTGGGAGAATGGGTCGAGACTATGCTTTTCTGGAAGGTAACTCGTGGGAGAGAGAGAGAGCAATCTCATTTCCCAATTGATTGGTTGGGGATAGAAAAATGGAGAATGAGCTTGGAAAGGCTCAGACCATTCCCTAGTCCCCTTTGGGGTGCAGCCACCTTCCCAATGTCAAGGAAGGGTGCACAACGATGGGCCTTGCCCATGTGGCAACGGTTGGGATTTCCAACCAATTAGATCATAGACAGCAATGATAACAATGCACACTTATCACAAACCTGAGTTGTTGCATTGGTTGCAATTTCAAGGAAGAGTCGAATTGGATTTAGGTTGGCTGTTTCTGATTGGTTCTATTTCCAACCAGCGGCGGAAGTTCCGTCGACTCACTTTGTGTGAGTATGTTCTGATTGGTTGGACAAGGGTGATGTTTGAACTTACGTGGGTTGTTTTCAAACCTATCGCGTAAGTTCTGTCACAATTGTATAGCAGAGTTCTGATTGGCTAGTTTTTCAATCAAGTCAATTCCAACCCAAGTCTCGCTTCCATTCAAATTTCAACCAATCATGTTTCCTCACATTTCCCCCTCACAGCTGGTTCGACGTATCGAGACCAGGTGAGGAGACCGAGATGTTACACTCCTCCCCCTCCATTTGGCAATGTCCTCGTTGCCGTGGGGTGCTTCTTAGGACGAGTGCTGCGAGCACGACGAACCATATTACGACCAGGGTCAACACCATCCACTGGTTGTGGGAGTGCTCGTTGAGCCAGGTCTTCCATGTAGGACTGAACCGCAGTATCAGTCAAATGTTCTTTCGGCTCCCAAGAGTTGTGTTCAGGCCCATAGCCTTTCCACTTAATGAGGAACTCTCGTATAGTCTTGCGGCCGCGTTGTCGATCACGATGCAAAAGCACTCGTTCGACTTCATAGTACAGTTCCTCCCCTAGGACGATTGTTGGTGGTGGTAAGTACTTGCCTTCCGCAACGTACTTGCTTAACAGAGACACATGGAAGACATTGTGAATCTGAAGGGTATCAGATAGCTTGAGCTTATAAGCTACCGCACCAACTCGTTGAACCACCTCAAAGGTCCTAATCCAGCGAGAGAACAACTTTCTCGCACTAGGGATCTTAAGCCGATATTCTTCGTGCTTAACAAAACCTTGTCTCCAACGGAGAATGAGACTTCCCAGCGTTTCATACCGGCATAGGAGTTTTGCCTTTGTTGGGGTAATTGCAGCCAACGACGTGCCGACTTTAGGGCCTCTCGTTGCTTGCCCACAAAATCCTTTGCGGCCGGTAATTTTAAACCGCCGATCCCATGCGTAGCGGGTGTTGTGGGATGCCGACCACAGTTCAGGATAAATGATTTTTTCATGTGTGCTATCATGCACTGAGTTGTTAACCGCAAACTCGACCATGGGTAACAACTCGTCCCAATTGTCATGTGTTGGGCTGATGAAAGAACGAAGCATCTGCTCGTGAGTGCGTTAGTCCGTGTCAGAATCCCAACCACTAGACCATTGGGATAAAAGGGCTTGTTAAGTAGCGGGTCAGAGTGCGCCCATAACCCCCCAGGCGAACGCGCCTGTAACCCCCCTAGGATCAATCGGGCATCCACAGTGCAGATCTACTGACACCCCCCCACACTGGGAGGCCCAGGATTGAGCACAGCGGCAACGGCCTACATGTGCATACACCGGGAATCGAACCCGAGACCTTTCTGACACCATGTCAGAATCCTAGTCACTAGACCATTGGGATAGAAGGGCTTGTTTCAGTAGCGGGTCAGTGCGCCCATAACCCCCCAGGCGAACGCGCCTGTAACCCTCTCCAGGATCAATCGGGCATCCACAGTGCAGATCTACTGACACCCCCCCACACTGGGAGGCCCAGGACTAAGCACAGCGGCAACGGCCTACATGTGCATACACCGGGAATCGAACCCGAGACCGCTCTGATACCATGTCAGAATCCCAACCACTAGACCACTGGGATAAAAGGGCTTGTTTGTGTAGCGGGTGAGTGCGCCCATAACCCCCCAGGCCAACGTGCCTGTAACCCTTCCCTAGGATCAATCGGGGATCACCAGTGGACCTCTGACACCCCCCCGCACTGGGATGCTCGAGGTGCAACACACCGGGATTCGAACCCGAGACCTTTGCTCTGATTACATGTCAGAATCCCAACCACTAGACCATTGGGATAAAAGGGCTTGTTAAGTAACGGGTCAGTGCGCCCATAACCCCCCAGGCCAACATGCCTGTAACCTTTCCCTAGGATCAATCGGGGATCACCAGTGGACCTCTGACACCCCCCCGCACTGGGATGCCCGAAGTGCACACACTGGGATTCGAACCCGAGACCTTCGCTCTGATAACATGTCAGAATCCCAACCACTAGACCATTGGGATAAAAGGGCTTGTTAAGTAGCGGGTCAGAGTGCGCCCATAACCCCCCAGGCGAACGCGCCTGTAACCCCCCTAGGATCAATCGGGCATCCACAGTGCAGATCTACTGACAGTCCGTTCTGTTTGCCCATCTATCTGGGGATGGAACGCTTACGACACCTTAAGCTTCGTTCCTAGTGTCTCAGTTACTTCACGCCAGAACCGGCTTATGAAGTGCGGGTCGCGATCAGACACTAATACACGTGGCAATCCGTGCAGGCGGAACACATGTGTCACGAACAACCGAGCCGTATCCTCTGCTGACACGTCTGTTGCCGTAAGGCGATCTACAAACACGAGTATCGTCGTATACCCATCACAGGTTCTCGGGAGGTCGGCGATGAAATCCAGTGACGATTTCCCAAGGTTCCCTTGGAATTTCAAGTGGTTGAAGCAAACCACCAGGCTTTTGCGTGTCCGGTTTGTTACGTGCGCACGTGTCACAACGTGCCACAAACTGTTGGACATCACTACCGACTCCTGGCCACCAATAGACATCACGTAGGGCCCATCGGGTCTTATTCATGCCCAAATGTCCCCCATACTTAGTGGCATGCACCACTTTCAAAATATCGTTCCGCAGATTGCCTATATGAGGTACCGCAATCTCTTTTGTTCGCCACCA